ATCCCGGCCGAAAGTGAAGATGTTGATGAAGCTCCTCCGTAATTTGAAGAGGGAGTGCGAACAGCCTTGGATGAATTGAAAGAAGTAAATCTTGGCACTAAAGAAAACACTCGCCCTATTTATATCAGTGCTCTCTTCTCGAGTGAAGAAAAGAAAGAATATGTGTCCTTACTTCGAGAATATATAGACGTCTTTGCATGGACATACAAAGAAATGTCGGGATTAGATCCAAAGTTCGTTGTTCATCACTTAGCAATAAAGAAGGATGCCGACCAGTAAAACAAGCTCAAAGATGCTTCCGTTGGATTTGATCCCTTTAATCGAGGCAGAGGTGGATAAACTTATTGAGACCGGATTCATCTGGAAAGTAAAATATCCTAATTGGATATCCATCATTGTCCTGGTCAGAAAGAAAAATGGACAGATCCGAATATGTGTTGATTTTCGGGATCTTAACCTTGCTTTCCCAAAAGATGACTATCCACTTCCAATCATTGAATTGATGATAAATGTTGTGACTGAGCATGAAATGATGTCATTTATAGATGGTTTCTTTGGTTATAATCAAATTTGTATGGCTCCCGTAGATGAAGATTTGACTGCCTTCCGAACTCCTAAGGGAGTCTATTGCTACACGGTCATGCTGTTTGGACTTAGAAATGCCGGAGCTACTTATCAACGTGCTATGCAGGCAATATTTGATGATATTCTCCACAAAAATGTGGAGTGCTATGTTGATGATCTCGTGGTGAAGTAAATTGAAAATAAAAACTAAGAAAAGTAAATTATTAATGAATACTCTGTAAAAGAACTAAGAAAAAATAGGGGAAAAGACCGTAAAAACCTTTGAAGTCAGAAGAATCAGAAAGCCTGATTACACGAAGATCAAATTATACTCTGCGATTTCGTTTTTTCCACAACTCCGCCCACTGCTCTTAGAAACCTTCATACTAATAGGTTTAATTCAAAATTTAGAGGCTCCTAGAATTTGGGGACCCTAGACATTTTTCTAGGTCCCCCAAATGTCTAGGAGAAATGCCTAGGTGTAATGCCTTCATGGCCGGCCCTCAAAATGTGTAAGTTCCACAATTACAAACAATGAAACTAATTAAAAGTGAAACAATACATAGTAAAAATACAACAATATCACATGTTCAATCTTAGCTAAAAAAAAGTTATTTATACTTCATGAGCTCTTTGTACAATTCCAATAGCACACCGTTAAATTCGCCAAGGCCAACCATACATACATTACTTGCATAACTTAAGTTATCTTCATAGAAGTAGTATTCTACGTGAAGGAGCATAAGGAGTATGGTTGAGGAACTTGAATTGTTGTTGAAGTCGTGCCTCTATATAAATACGTAGTATTAAATATAAATTATCTTCATTAATTACCCAAGCAAACTATTGAAGACAACTAGAGATTTGCTTTGTTTTAACAGAGACGTCAAAGGAAACTAGGTTGATTTCAATGTCTACTATATATATTGTTGGTAGAAATTGGCCGGATAAATCTGCAAAAAATGTTTGAAAATAAAATAGCTCGAGTCGCGTAAACGCTGTCCTCATAAAAGTATTTCCGACTAGCGAAAACCTTTCCCCAAGATAAAACGAGCTCTTCGGCGTAAGTCGATACCAGAATAACGAGAGTAGAAAATTATTAATCCAGCAGAGTAAAAATAGAAGGGATGTTTTAGTTCAAAAATCTTTTTCTTAGTCACTCCTAGCATGGCCGAACACATCTATATATATACATAAAAATAGAACGTTGCAGCACAAATGAATAATGTTCCAATACATATTAAATATGATTAACGTTAGGATAGATTAATAGGCTTCAATGTTGAAAATTCTTGAGAGTAAATGCCCTGTCCAACCATTTAAATTGATCAACACATCATGAAGGCTCAATTAACAATTGAGTTTAATACTCTGTAATAATAAACACTAGTATCTCACAAACCGGTTTTGAAAGTAACGTACAAGCTTTTATTTGTAAAATTAATTAAATTAAAATGTTTTCAAAGTAATTAAAATTAATAATGCTTTATTTATTTGAAATACTCCCAATTTTTCAAACAATCCCCCACATATTTCAAATGAATAATTTTAGATTTTGAAAAATAATTTAGAAAATTTATGCTGGATTAAAGGAATGAGACTTTAAGTTTGGTGTTCGTAGACTTGAAACCCAACCGAGACGATTAAGTCTTAATAAACCGAGCTTTTGGTGAAACATATAGTTTCTGGAAAACAACAAGCTACTATTGGTAAATCAGGTTCTTAACGGTCGTGTCTCACCCCGCACAATTTCTCGTTGTTACGCCGTTGTGCGCCGTAAGGCCATGCGCGTGCTTGGTGTTCATGAGTGCTCTAGAAGTTTTGTCATGCTTCATAGAGGTGACCCCACCTCACACTCATATAGGTGATATCATCAAGTGTGTACCGCTTTTTCACACCACCCTAAAATTAAGGGTTATGATAATCATTAAGAGATTTTAGCTCACCCTCTCAAAGAATGCGGTTTCTAGCCTATATCTCACATCATGGAAATGGACAAATTTAGTTAGGCTAGCAGAACTAAATGGAAGACTTGTTATTACCCATTTGAACTTGCTTCAAAGGATCTCCAATCACACAAGTTGGTTTCTCATCCCCATTTGTTTCAAAGTGACATCTGTCCAATTTCATTCGATGTTTCGGTTATCAATTTTCATCCTAGAGCTTTTGTCAAAGGAGTAGCTAAATCCTTTTGACCTCACAAAATTAATGGAAACAATTCCATTCTCAAACATCATTGCACCACTTTTAAGGGTGAATGGATATCCACTATTTTAATTTATCTCATGTGAGTATACTCAGATGTCGTCGTTGTATCCCGGCAATACAACGGATAACTCTCAATAAGAAATGACATCGATGTGACTCTCTAGCACATCGGATAATTCTCAATAAAATATATACCATCATTGTATCATTATATACAATGGATAATTCTCATATAACATCATTGTACCTCTCTAGGACAATGGGTATTTCTCAATAAAACATATCATCGTTGTATCAATAGATTACAACGGATAATCTTAATAAAAAATACCATAATTAATGGTACCTCTCAAATATCTCAATAACCGCCTCAACGCAGTCCAATGATCCCTACTTGGGTCATGAGTATATCGGCTCAATCTTCCGACAACATAAACTATGTCGGGCCTAGTATAATTTATAAAATGTAATAAACATCCAATAATTTGGGAATACTCATATTTAGCCTCACGATCACCTCAAAAAAAAATTAATGCATATGAAAGTCATAAGGAATACTCACGGGTATGACATTAAAATATCCAAACCTCTTTAGAAGTCTAGCTGCATAATGTTCTTGAGATAGTATAACACCATCATCCTTCCTTGTGACTTTCATATATACCCAAAATCATTTTTGTTACCCCCAAGTCTTTCACACTAAAAATTAACAAATCATCCACATTCAAGCAAATTATAATGCACACACAATTTTTACATTTAGTGTATGCACACTTTGTGTTCCTGACCACTAACCACATGACCTTCCGATTGCACCATATAAATTTCTTCTTCCTCTAGTTCACCATTTAAAAATGCAATTTTAATATCCATTTGATGAATAAAAAGTTTGTGAATAAGTCAAAAATTCATCATTAATAAGATTAATAAGGTATGAATAAAAATCATTTCCAATGGATTTCTCTATCCTAGGCCTCTTACTTCTTCTCAAAGGAGAAGGTTCATCATTAAAAGAATAATTTTCTTTTAATGGATCACTATCACTAGAGGGTGTATCATTAAAGGTTTTATTTCCTTGTAGTGGATCACAATCACTATATGGCGCAAAGGTCTTGTGTTCAATTTTCAAAGGAAACACATTTTCAAAAATAAGCATTTTTTTTCAACAACGTATAAACAAATAATCACACATGCATCATTTAGTGTGTACACATTCTCCAAAAATGATCACATTAACATCAGCAAAAACATAGCTTAAAGTATTCCACATTAGCACACTATTTCTAGAATTTAAGAATATTATGTATGTGCTCCAAAGTTTCAGTTTATGCAAAAGTAGCCAAACGCTATAAAGCTCATTTTCACTCAATGAAACAGGTAATAAAAATATTGCTAAGCACCCCCACAATTTTAAATATTTAAAAGTGGTGTTAAAGTATGGCGTATTGTAAGTATGAACATGGAGAGACTAACCATTATACGTAGAAGACTTTTCTGAGCGTTAATCCGATTAATACGGCTCCCCATGCGGGTGTATCACAGCCTACTTCGCAACGCACAAGTAGAGATAACATAGCCTCGATGAGTGCGGCGGCAACGCCTTGTGAGTTGATATGTGCAGGCATATCCGACGCCAAATACTTTCTTGAGATTGTTGGCGGAAATTGGCCGGATAACCCTGCAAAAAACGTTAGAAAATAAAATAGCTCGAGTCGCGTAAACGCTGTCCTTAAGAAAGTATTTCCGACTAGCGAGAACATTTCCACAAGATAAAACGAGCTCTTCGGCGTAAGTCGGTAATAGAACAACGAGAGTAGAAAATTATTAATCCAGCAGAGTAAAAATAGAAGGGATGTTTGAGCTCAAAAATCTTTTTCTTAGCCACTCCTAGCATGGCCGAACACATCTATATATATACATAAAAATAGAACGTTGCAGCACAAATGAATAACGTTCCAATACATATTAAATATGATTAACGTTGGATAGATTAATAGGCTACAATGTTGAAAATTCTTGAGAGTAAATGCCTTGTGCCTTGGATAGATTAATAGGCTACAACGTTGGATAGATTAACGTTCCAACACATCATGAAGGCTCAATTAACAATTGAGTTTAATACTCTATAATAATACACACTAGCATCTCACAAACCGGTTTGAAAGTAACGCACACACTTTTATTTGTAAAATTGATTAAATTAAAATGTTTTCAAAGTAATTAAAATTAATAATGCTTTATTCATTTGAAATACTCCCAATTTTTCCAACATATATAATGTACACTTTAAAGAGAAACTACAATGCAAGGATAATTGATGCTTTTAAAAGCATCAGAACTTAATTATTTCTCTATCCAGCTAGATTGAATACTCCGTATTATATTATTACACAAAAAATTCCTTAAGAAAGCAAAATTCTTATTATTTATACACATTTTTCATCATTCAAGTAAAAGGGCCAAACCAATTGAATGAGTAGGGAAGCTAGCTTAATTAGCCCCCACTCAAAGCAGCAGATAAATTCCCAACTCTGAAACCATTATTCCTCATCCCAAAGTCCTCTCTGCACTTGAATGAAACTTCTGGCCTTGTGGAGAATCCAACCCTTCTTGAAGAAGTAGAAGAAGAAGAGTCCTTTATGTGATCAGCTGCTGAGATCCCATTGGTTGTACGCTTGTAAGAGCTAAACCATTTGGCTTGCATGTATGAATGCCTTCTCCATGGAGGAACATGAATCCCCATTTTCCTCATTGATCTCTTTATCTCATTGCTCATTATCCTTACAATCTTCTTCAGCTCATCCGTCTTCCCCGCGTACACATCGGGCAACACTTCCAGCAACGAACTGTATCCCGCTGTCGGCCTCACGATTTCCAGCTCCCTTCTCAGGTCTACTTCTATAATGTGACGTTCTCCGTTCATGTTTACGTCTATGTATTCGTAATCTCCCTTGTTAGGGCAGCCCTCCTTCTTCTCCCACCTTGTTTTGCACAGACCTGCAATTGTTCAATATAATGCCTACATTTATTAGGTTTTGAGCGGTACATATATAGAGGCGTTTTGGAACATAATCCATGCTAGAATGGGGGAATGAAATGCTGGTTGGAAACACAATGTGGGACCCAAGTGAAGACTAAGGAGTCAATAAACACTGACATAAATTACTTTAGATAATTAAACACTGATATAAATTACTTGATTGTTATCTTTGTAATTAAAACTACTTTCTTTAATTAGATATATGATCAATATGCTACATTTTAAATTACTATGGAGTATTTTTAAAATACACAGTTACTTGATTATAGAAAAAGAAAATCATTAAATGAATCAAGAATGTCTCAAAAAACATGTTTGTGGGTCACATTAAACTTTCCAATAAAAACTCATAAACATATACTAGTATCTGATAACAATAGTGATTTCTATAATACTCCCTCCGTCCCAAGTGGTTTATTAAAGAGAGAATTCCCTAAATATTATAAAAAAAAGTTTTGAAATTACAAAATAGGACTGACACGTTTTTTATTTCTTAAATATGAGTAAATTTCTGCCAAGTTTGGCATTACTGGGCTTTAAGCATAGCATTTCAAACATGGCAGATTACTCCTATTCAGGGAATAAAAAACTTCATACTTCTATTTTGGTATTTCAAAAACGTTTTTTCTCCGATTTAAACAATTTCTATTTATTAAACTATGAAAATATCTTCTAAATTACGGAGTATAATTTTAAGGCTGTAAGGTATAGCCAGATTACCGGCATCCCAGCCCTGAACGCGCAACCGGGCCATCAACCTTCGTTTAAACTCCGGCGAAGAAAGATCCCCGGATTCCTGCCGGCGGGCAATTTCCACTTCCTCAAACAACCTCCTCTGTCTTACGCCATTCTCTCCGTCCTCGTACCTTAACAGCCCCTCCAAAGCATCCTTAGCTTCCCCGACGTCGTCGCAGAAACTCTGGTCTTCCGGCCGATCCTCGTCGTCCCGGGCGCCTTCATCGGCCCAGTCAACTCGCCCCTCCCACATGAACGAATTCACGAGGCCGGAAAAATCCACATCCGTCAAGCTTTCGGCGGCGGCGGCAGAGTGCTCGCTGCCGCTGCTGCCGCATGGAGGCCGTGACTTTATTGTGAGAACCGCCTCGTCGAAGGCTTCCGCCACCCTCTTGAACCTCACCGGAACCATATTCTCCATTTCAGATAGATACAGAGAAAGAGATCAAATGAGGTATACTGATAATATAGATATGGGGGGCCGGAAAAGCTGTGTAAAAATGGCGACAGGATGTTTACAGTTTACACCATTAGTGCAGTTCTTGATCGATTAGGGAAAATGAGGACATTATGTTGAATAGATTAGGATATGTAATTATTGTTGGAAATGAAGTTATTTCTTTTTTCGTGAAGTAGACTCCATATTTATATTTGTAATATGTATGTGTGTACTCTTTGCTGAATTCTAGTGATGGAGGTGGATGCAGTACATTCAATTTCTTGACTTGAAAAGAACCTAGACATACTATTGAACCAAGTACATTCATGATTCATTCCATGATAAGTAGGAGCAAATACTCACACCGGTGGGCGTAGCTCAACTGGTAACGAGGAAGTACCACAAGGGTTAGGTCCCGGGTTCGAATCCCGTCGATTGCGATGAGAGATTAGTATGCTAAAAATGCATATGGCATCTTCAAGTATCGGAGACAGAGTCTCACTTTCTATCTGTCAGATTGTGATTATAGTCCAATTTACATCCTCCCAACGTACTGTCCGGTCAAGGTTGGGGACCCAACAGGGATGGGTGTCATCCTTTAGAGCAAATACCGACACATAAAGTTCAAAAGGAGAATTACATGCCCATTTATTGATTTATGTTAAAAAAATAAAATCATTTTAAAATAAGAGTAAATAAATCTTATTTTGAGAGGAAATAATGAGCACCATATTTACGTGTTACATTTTCCTTTTATTTGAGGTTTCTTCTCTTTCATCTTGTTAGCTACCTGTTGAATATTTTAATGTAAGTCTGAGATCACTTCGACTTTTACAAAAATTGGTGGAAGTGTTATAAAAATTCAAGAATTGTTATGGAACGTACATACAAAATAAATGTTGTTTGATTCTTGCTTTTGTTTGTTGCTCCAAATAAATGTTTTCTCATCATGTTAAGAGTTGAACTTTCATCCTAAAATATCAACTTGATAGTAGGAGGAGTCTGGATATTAATATAATGCTTATTTGCTTTAAAGATAAACGATGTGATACAATAACACCTCTCCTCATGACCAGGGGCGGACCCACCCTAGGGCTAGGGGGTGCCCGTGCCCCTGCGGTGATTTTTATATATATATATATATATATATATATATATATATATATTGGAAAATTCTCAGGTCCAGCACCTCCCGGTCCGAACACCGTCCGAACACCGCCGTTTGAGGCGGTTCCTGGTGGAATTTTTTGATGAAATATTTTGAACATGTTTCTCATCAAGTCTAGTTTATCCATACCAAATTTCAGGTCAAAATTCGACCGGGAAGGCAGTCAAATAATTCGTTGAAGTTAACTGCGTTTTTCTATGTATAATTTGGTGCAGTTAACTTCAACGAATTATTTGACTGCCTTCCCGATCGAATTTTGAGCTGAATTTTGGTATGGATAAACTAGACTTGATGAGGAACATGCTCAAAAAATTTCATCAAAATATTCCGCCGGGAACCGCCCCAAACACCGGTGTTCGGACGGCATTCGGACAGAAAAGTGGTGGACAGAAAAGTTATGCCGATTGAGACTTATGATGTTAATATTAGAGATGAGTTGATGAGACGTTATTTGAGAAAAGGTCCTTGCCAACCGCGTGACTTTAAATTTCCACAAAGTGATTTTAATGGGTGCAACAGATCATTCCAAAAACAGTGGTTTTATTTAAATTTTATAGTTTTGTTTATTGCTATACTCGTGATGCATATGATTTTTTTCTAGACTAGTATATCATTTCTTTGTTATTGTGCCCCTGCGAGTCACGAGTTCTGGTTCCGCCACTGCTCATGACCAGACACTTCGTCGGGATCATGTTGTCCTTCATTTTTTCATCAGTTCATCATTGTCATTTTTTAATTGGGTCATCATTTTTCACAGGAAGCCCACACCATGAATTGATTTGGCTCTGATACCATATTAAGACTCGGAGGCTCCATCGTAAAAGGTTAATCTGATAGAAGGAAGAGTCTAGATCTTAATATAGTGTTTAATTGCTTTAAAGATATCCGGTGTGGGCCTATTTGAAGTAGCGGGAGTTCGTGGGCCGAGAGTTCCAGGGCTATATACTTCATCGGGTACCTTTCTTAATAACTATACAATTCTTTCCTGTCATAATGTTAAGGAGATTGAGATACTAATTACTACTCCCTCCGTCCCACTAGCAGGTTCCCGTGAACTGTTTACGATGCTTGATTGACGATAAAGCAACTTAATCCTTGTTCACACACGGATTATTTTTAGTAAATAAAATTAACATATTCAGAAACTACATTAAAACCGCTACAAAGCCTGATAAAAAAATGATTATTTGGTAAAAAATTGATTTGCAAAGTAAAAGATTAAAAATGATTTAAGTTGATCATGAGAATAGTGGACGGAAACCTTCTAATGGGACGGAGGGAGTACTTACTAGTTACTAGTACCACAATTGGAAAATAAGTCTTGGTGGTTAGATGTTTGACTCGAGTCCCAGGTGGGTCAACTTTCACACACAAGGACAAAGTGAGTCTGAGCATCACACGGTGGGTGCGGTAGACTGTGGAGAATTGGAGCCGTTTTGTTATTAATCCTATTCTTAGTCTTGTTTTACAATATTAGTTTTTGTTGATGAATTGTGTGTCTAGGTTCAATGAACTTAGAGTAAAAAAACTGTCTATGTTCATTGGAATCGTGGAAGTTATATACGGAGTGTAACTATTACCTTTGGAGAGGCTTTGTGCTTCTTATGATCATAGTTGTATGACTTAATTGCCCCTCGTGTGACAAGAAGTCTTGGTCTTTCCCAAAATATGACTTCAAAGTTTTATTTCCTAATCTATGTTACCTGTATCCTTTCGTCATACGCTTCTCATACGTCTATTTTTTTTATTCCTTCGCTACCCTTCCGTCAAACCTACGGTCAGAGTATCATTCCAAAACCGTTTAATCATTTATTTCACAATCTCCAATTAGGTAACCGTTTTCCATCTGCGATTACCTCAATTCTTCAACCTTCTTCCAAATAACGGTTTCCTTCTTCTATTCATTCTTCTTGGTTCGGCTTCGTGGTTGGAAAATTATGGAAATCACCTGTTCTCGAAATCAATCTCCAAACATACATGTCTTGATGAACGTAGATGGTCAGTGGCTGTCTAACGTTCACTTTCAGAGCTCAAGCTCCATCGCCATTGATATTCCTTTCTCCTGCAAGTGGATTGACTTTTGTGCGATTATATACGACTCATTGGGCGTAAGAAATTGTGAACGTGGTATACGTATTTCATATGTATTTGAAGCATGTCCTCCGCCGATTATCATCAATGACTATTCTAGCTTGATGTTTTATCTGCACATTAAAAGCATTCAATCGGACTTCAATAAGCTTCCTCTGTGTGTAGAGTTTCTTCAAGCGTTTCAAGGTTTGTCAAATATTTCTCCATGTTAATTTCGCTTGCAATTCAATTCATCTGCATTTTTTGTAATTCCTTTTATTTTGATTTCAAAGGATGTACTCAATATGTGTCAAATATGGTTAATTACTCTATTTGCGATGATGACGTTTTTTATGTTTTTGAGTATTATGCTTTATTTCAGCAGCAGATGAACAAACAATGCACTGCAGTGATGTTTTTTCGCCCTCATCCAGCATTGAGTACTCTGATTTCACTCCTTTGTCTTTTGATGAAGATGTTAACAATGATGAGTTCACATCTTCTTTTGAGGTTCCTCTCAGATCTTTTGTTCCCCACTTTGAACCCACCCGTCTTGCTGTGGACGCCATATATAAAAACAAGAAGGAGTTTATTTTTAATTTGAAGATGTATGCAATTACTAATTTTTTCCAATACCGAACAAAGTCATCTTCTCCTAAGGTGTTACATGTTATTTGTTTGGATCCTGATTGTCTGTGGGCTGTTCGTGGAGTTCGCTTGGATGAAAGTGGCTTGTTTCAAGTGCGTAGGTTAGTGACTTTCTATCTTTGCTTCTGTATTTTTTAGACATGCTTATTGTATGACTTACAATACTTATTGTTTGCATAATCTTTACATTATTTAATGCAGTGCTATTGCACTTATAAGCTGCAACTAATGAAACTTATTAGGCCTTATATTTTGTATTTTTACTTGTATAGCCTTGTGCAGTTCCATATTTTTTCTGAAGTTTGGTGTCATCATCTGCATTAAAGTTATACAATACAATGAATGAATAAATTCTATCATTTTTATATCTGTGTTTCAATATTAAAATTATCTACTTATATTTTTTTCCCACTTTTACATCCTTGTGAAGTTCGAAATTGCGCTTGTACTTAGTTTTTATTATCTGCACTACATTTATGCACCTTAATGAATGCATCATTACATGTTGTTAATGCGATCTGTTCTTGTTCCTTTTCAGATTTGATAACGACCATACCTGTCCCATTGATATTAGACAAGCTAATAGTCGTCAGGCGTCTTCCTCTCTTATTGCTGAACTCATCAAGCATGAATATGATGACATGTCTAAAAGAGCTTACACACCTCAGTCAATCATTACAGATATGCGAAGATTGCATGGAATTGTGATGTCATATAAAAAGGCTTGGTTTGCAAGGGAAATTGCATTGCAATTGTCTCGGGGATCTGAAAAGGAGTCGTACAGTACGTAGACTTCCATCTTTGTGCTACATGCTTGATAAAGCAAATCCAGGTTTGGTTGTTTCATGTTCTTGTAATGAAAATGGAGAATTTCAGAATTTTTTATGTCTCTTGGTCCATGGCGAGTTGGATGGGAGAAGTGCATTCCAGTTATTATTGTTGATGGTTCGTTTTTGAAATCGTATTACAAAGGAACACTACTCACGGCATGCACGCAAGATGCTAACAAGCAGATTTTTCCACTTGCATTTGGTATTTGCAGTGTTGAAAATACCGTTAATTGGACATGGTTTTTCAACATGTTGAAGAATTGTCTCAAGCTTAGAGATAATTTGTATGTGGTGTCTGATCGTCATGAAGGAATCATAAATGCGGTTCGTTCTGTTTTTCCATATGTTGAACATGGATATGGTGTTTATTACATATTGGGCAATATAAAATAAAAATTTCGAGGTTCTGGAAAGGTGTTGTCATGGAAATTCTTACAAGCAGCGAGAGCGGGTTCAGTTTATGAATGTGAAGAGTACCTTTCCAGGCTTGATTATGATGACCCCGGTATACGTAAATACTTGCAAAAAATTGGTAATGACAAGTGGTCTCGTGCATACGCTAGCCGCAACCGCTATTCTGTCATGATGTCTAACAATGCGGAGTCTTTGAATGTTGTTTTTGTCAAGGCGCGTGAGTATCCCATCTGCAAATTGATTGAGTTTATAGTACGAACAATGCAAACATGGTTCTGTGAACGCAGAGAAGCGGCTGCATCAAACAAATCTCGGCTCTCTGCTTACTTTGAGGCGCAATTTCAGCTATCGCAATCAAATGCTGCATTAATGCAGGTACTTGAATGCAGTCATATTGTACTACATTCTTGAGTAATTGTTATCATCTTCCGTTTTATGTTACACGTTCCATTTTTTATTTTTTTATAGGTCAAGCCATCATGTATCTTTGAATTTGAAATCTTTGATGTGATAGGAAGGTCATATGTTGTCAATTTAAGAGAAGGCAGTTGTACATGCCGTGAATTTGAACTTGATGGCTTCATATGTGTTCATGCCGTTGCTGCAATCCGTTCTCGTCCTGGACTTTCTTCTTATGACTATATCCCTGAGTATTATACTACACATAAATGGTTTTCAGCTTACGAGGGCATCATTCATCCCATTGGTAGTCCCGATTGTTGGGTTGTTCCCCATGACATATTAGAAGTCATTTGCAGCCCTCCCTCTTGTTCTAAGAGACCTCCTGGAAGACCCAAAAAGCGACGTATTCCATCCACCGGTGAACATGTGCGTCAACAAAAGTGTACACGTTGCTCAATGGTTGGTCACAATAGAGAGACATGCCGAAATCCCATTCCGCGCACTCGCTCCTAATGTTGATTTTTTTAAAATGATGCTTTACATTTCAATTTACAAGTGATATAGATGTTAATAAACTTCTGTGTTTGAATATGTTTTTTTTTTGCTTACGTATTGCAGTAATAAATGGAATATTCATCTGTATTGATGACCATTCTTATAAATGTAATGTCTCTTTACATGTTTTGGTGTACTCGTTCTAACATTACAAGTGTTTTATTCACTTGATATTCCAAATCAGTTGGTTTGTAATTACACGCATGTTCTTTTGATTATATGTTTCTTATTACAAGTATGTTTTCAATTATTTGTACGTATTGCAGTTTGCATCTGTCATGATTACCATTCATATAAACCCAATGTTACATGTTTACGTATTCAGTCAAAGATTAAAACCTCCTTCAAGTCATTTTGAAATATACATATATCTAACATACTAAAACTAATTCTCATTGCTACAATGTTGTTTTCATGAAATGAATGTATGTTTTTGTTTACTTCAGATTAACAATAAGCACATGTCCTAACTATGTGCATTAATCTTACGCAGTACACTACTGCATTATATGCCTAACGTAGAAAATAGTCATATTACTTCGGTGCTTATTAAGCACACTTTTCAATGTAAAACAGTGAATACTTCACAAGCAACGTTATGTTCAATCCAAACAACAACCACATTAAATCGTAATACAACAATACTTGAGTTTAATCAAAATAAAGCATCCCCAGTAAAAGCAAATTTCAGTTCATTACACATTTCTCAAAGACATTCATTCAACTCCATTGACATTCACCAGTCCATTGTAATGCAGGATCTCAGTTACAAACTTCTTCCGGTAAGTCCACATGTCCCTGGAATTCACTTCATTAACATCTCTCCCCATCATTAGGTACTCCGCCATTTTAAGTACAAATAGTCCACAACTATCCCTGCGCATTTGAAAAAATTTACAATGTTAATTATGTACCAATACACATTTTATTTTTAAGAAATTCAATCCACTTACCCGTCATTTTGTTGCGGACTGGATACCGTAACTCATCCCAGTTTTTCATCTCCAATTGGCTGTTCACCACGCTCTTCGTACACCCTGCACCAATCCATTAGTTTTCCTAAATGAATTTCCAAACAGGGCAAGAACTCACTCAATTGTCTACTTGGTGTTCCAAGGTGGTTATTGGAGTCATAAATCCTAATACGCTTTTCTGCCACATCAAGCACAAGTAGAACCCAATGATTCCCAATATTCATCGGCATGTACACATGCTCACACTCGGCCCATGGTAGCCCGTAAGGCACATTTCTCCCAATTATTGCTCCAACAATACTTTTGTTTTGTACAGACTCTCCTAGGGTGCTTTGATTTCTCTCAATCAGCTCATGGTATTGTTTCAGCAATGTCGTGAAAAAACAATCCGTTGTCGTGAACTTCTGCTGCAGTGAGTATTCTTGTGCTTTGACTCGCAGGTAGTATAATATGACATCAATGTGCTGGGTAAATCAAATCACCATAAGTAGTACTAATGCTCAATCTTAACATTGTTTAAAAATATAATAAAAAATATATATACTTACTGTGTCTTTTATCCAATTCCCCTGAAACCATATGTCATAGTACATGACTTGCTGATCAGTCTTCCATCATTCCATAATGGTGTCATATTTCTCAATCTCACAGTTTCGTGTTTTGCATTATACCTCTTCAAGCCACCCTTTTCATGATTTTTTAGTAGCCCCGCATACATGAAATCAATTATAATTTCTAGCAACTTATCACTTGGCTGCTGTTTTGGGTCTAATGTCAGAGGCCCTCTCACTACTCCTTTTTTTACCTCAATTCTGCTGGCATCCTTCTTTTTTCTTTTCCCGTTTCCAGGCCCTGACAAAGATAATCTGTTTGGTTTTTTAGCATCTCTCCTTGGCCTTCTCTCAACTTCTTCAAATGCACCTTCTTTCATCTAAATTATAATACGAATAACTTAAAACATAACACGAGAATGGTCATCAATACAGATGAATACTGCATTTATTATAAATAATATACCTCAACCGCATCCTTCTCTTGGAGATCATCAGATTTTTCACCAATTGATTGCTCAGTCATTGCCATATCGACTCTCTCTGCTTCAACATTTTCTACCTAAATGTTAATACCAATTAATTAAATAATAACACTACAACAGTAGCAATAGCAAAATATGAAAACTCTAACTGCATTTAATTAAAACATACGCCATCCTTCTTCTGGAGATCTTCACAGTTCTGAGCAACTGGTTTCTCAATGTTTGTTGCATCAACGACTTCATCCACTGCTTGATTAGCCATCACATTTGCCATGATTTCATCCACTGCATTAACCAATACTTGGGTATTGATTGGGTCCTCAACTCCATCCCCCCAATCTGTCTGCACTTCATCATTTGTTCCATTTCTATCTTTCCTCTCTTCAGCTTTGTCATTACTCTTGTCCTGCTCTGCTTCATGAAGCTCTACACTTTCTTTTTCTTCATTGTCTTCACTGCCATCATTGAACTCTGGTGCAAGTTCAAATGATGGAACTTCCACATCTCTTCCCACTTTTCTTTTCTTGATCAAGGGAAATCTTCTGCTTATAACAATCTTTCCATTTTTTGCATTCACCAATAGCTTTTTAATCATGCTTGCATGTTTCACTTGCAATTCACATAGTTTGGTAATTGTACTCTCTAATTTTTCAATTCTTTCACCCTGCGCTCTCACTTCTTTTAAAATACTCTTGATTCCCCTTTGTCCTATTTTCTTCCCTTCACTGTCTTCACCAGATGGATCATCATCTTCATCAACACCATTCTTTTGCTTGTTTCGTTTCTTTACTTTCCCCTTCCTTCCATCAGAACCCATGTTTGCATCCTTTCTTCTTGCATTCTTGACTGGCTTTGAAGAAGCTTCTTCACTGCTTATTTTCTCCAAAGCATGTGCAATGCATGTCTCTTCTAACTCCTCCTTCGTTGGTTTCATCTCTACCCATTCAAACTGCAAATTTCACATTTTCATTTCAATTAATGACCAGACATTATTAAACATCATAATCACCAACATGATTACACATTATGAACATGTATCACAACCATTAAAAAAATACACATTAATATAAATTTTGTACTTGTGGATTATTGAAAATTATCTCCGCAAGAACCACAGATGATGGCTTTGATGTGACAGACCAGTTCAATGTTCTTGGCCAGTAAGTTTCGGGCCTTTTCAAACACACCCTCGCTCTCCTGAGTTCTGGAAAAGTCTCAAAACCCCATATTTGCAGGGCAAATACATATCCAGGGAATGTCACCCTAGTGTTCTTTCCCTCCCCTAATATCGTTGCACACTTTAGAACCTTATCAAGCAAATCATACCACACAATATCACCCAATGGAAACTTATTGAATGCATCAATGTCATCTACCAGGTTGATGTATGCTGTAGGCACTTTGAGTGACGACTGGTTACCTAGTATGTAGTTACCAAGAACGTGCAACAATCCTAACTTCACTGCATCTAATGGTTGCATTTCTTCTCTTCTATTATTAATGGATTCAAATGCTTGCCGTAAGTCTCCCCGGTCAAGACTCGTTTTTCCACTAAAGTACCTTCTCCACAGTTCCCCATCACAACGAGTACTTATAGGTGGTATGTTCCTGCCAAACTCAAATCCAGTTATCAAGATAAGGTCTTTTTTCTTCATTGCAACTAGTCTTTCTCCAATTTGGAACTGAATTTCATTCTTCACAGTCATCTCTTTCACAGGTGCAACATGATTACCTATTAGCATGCATATCAGTTGTGCATTTAACCATTTCAGATTTCCTACATCTAACATGTAACCAAACACGGTTTCCCTAAACACTTTTACTTCTTCTTCAGTCAATACACTCTTAATACTTTCAACAGCCTTCACTGGATTGCAGAAACTACTAACTCTCATGTCGTCTCTTCCCTCCAGAACTTTAGCATTATAGTATCGCTTATATGCCTAGTACAATACATAAATACAGGTTAAGACCTCCAATAATGACACTATAGTATGTTTTTTTCATTAATTAATATCATTATAGGTGCAAAATAAGTGAATTTCATGTTTTCATGCTTACTGCCATTTCCAAATTACAACACACAGACTACTTTACCTAAAAAACAACTTAAAATTGGTTACTCTAACAAAATA